TAAGACGACTGGAAATAGGAGTGTACCAGATCAGGTCAGCATGCCAAAAATAATTATAAATTATAAATTATATAATTTTTGAGTTTTTACCTGAGCCAGATTATTGTCTTATGACATTCTCACTCTTAAGAAAACTCTGCTGTAAATTGTTCATTTTGATGAAGTACATCTCTACTTTGATTGTAGTTGACATTTGCAATGTTATTTTTAGCTTGTATTTTCATTTGTTCTTCTACAGTAAATGGAATTTACTAGCCCCACAAATTGATCTAAAGTTCATATATAAATATTTTCCAAAAAGAAAATGCTTTTTGCTACATAAAGTCTAATTTATTATCTTTGTTTTTGTGGTGAATAAGTGGCTTTCTTCTGTTGTTCCTAATGGATTTAATTAGTTTTAAATAATCTGTCAGCAGTATTGGTAATTTTTTAATCATGCTACTAGCAAGGGATTATTAAAAATAGATCAGAACACTATAATATTTTATATTTAGTAAATCGTTTCCCTCAAAATGTTTTTCGGCAAGTAGAAACTTGGGCTATCTCTTTTTGATAATATTGGAAATATATGACTGATGAATAAAAGTAATAAAATATACTGAAATAAAACATTAAATATACAATGTGGATATTTTTATTTTAATTAATAAAAATATGAATATTTAAATATACAATGTGGATATTTTAATTTTAATAATAATTATATACAGTTAGGACATATATAGCTCACTTAAGTTTTTCCCATATAACATTCTATTTTAACTTAGGAAGTTTTCTCTAGGATGTTAAAACAGCATCTCCAGTGTCACTGATATGAATTTCAGAAATATGAGAAACTGCATGAAATCAAAGATCATAATGATATCCATGTTCCAGTAAAAGTTCAGCAGAAAAAATTTGTGGAGTTTTCCATGGGGAAAATTGTAGACCTTTCCACACGAACACATTTGTAGTTTATTTCTTGTTTAATATTTGTGTTGCCATCCTAAAGGCATGTTTGAAATTTTACAACCATCCTACCTAGATTCATATTAGCCAAAGTCTTTGGTCAAAAGACATCCAGAAATTTCCTGAGAGTGTCACAGTCAGACTTGGTGGTGGTTCATCTACAAATCTACTGGACAGAGTTCACAGTTTTTCTTTTTCTTTTAATCTTGGTGAAAAACTTTCAATAACTCACCACTACAGAACAGAAAGTACTGTGAGTTTATGTTTTACAATTTACATAGCTGATATGCTGTATAGTCAAAATTCATGTTTTATCATATTTTGTATGTATGTATCATATACAACATATTTCTTTGTATCTCTTTCCCAAGATGGTCTGTAGTTGTGATTTCACAACAGCATGGGGTTAATGGCCATTATTTGAAGCTGTCCTACAATCTCTGTGCTGTAGTCAGTGTGTTGCGGAGAACTAAAGTAAGTGGGAGGTGTGTGTGACTCATTCATATGATAACATTTCCTTACTGGTAGAGTGTGACCTTCCACGTGTTCCATTGTGATGTGTCAATGATATCCTTTTGTTCTAAAACAGAACATTACTTAGAACTTTCTAAAATATGATAGAACATGATTTTGACAGTACAGCATATCAGCTATGTAAATTGTAAAACACAACTTTATTGTTGTTAGATGGATTGAATTTTTATCTCCTGCTCTTAAAGTTCAAGTACATCCATAGGCACTGAATATGGAAAGCCTGAGTACTGTGCTACCCAACAGTAGACCTCCAGGTAGGATTCTAGCTCGTAATGACACACAGTTTCCCAGGAAATACTGGCTTGCTTGATTCTATTTTCTACTTGTTCAGCATCATGGGGCAATGTAACGGAATAATAAGATTTCAAAATAATTTCCAGCCAAATCCAAGGGTAAGGCAGAAATATTCATTGTTCAGCATCATGGGGCAATGTAAAGGAATAATAAGATTTCAAAATAATTTCCAGCCAAATCCAAGGGTAAGGCAGAAATATTCATTTAAGTATATGTAGTCCATCATGCTGTTTGTTCCCTGTAAAGGACTCCATGAGCAATTGTATAGAATCCATTTTTGCACAATATAATAGTCCTTGAAGTCTCTGGTGCTTTTTTCCTCCAAACAAAAGGCAAAGACAAATAGATCATAACTCTCACAAAAGACTTCCCTCTGCATGTAAATTCCAACTTGGTAAATATGAGTGCTCTCAGCCAGGTAATCAGGCAAGGACATTTTTTTTGAGGACTTTCTATGTACAGAATATTGAATTAAGCCATAAATCAGACCTGTTTTTGCGTAGATTTTTTCCTTGCTTACAAAAAAATGTACCAGTTAAATACTATATCATGTCAAGTACCCTAAATCATTCCATGAATTTCAGGAAGCTTTGGGAAAATTGGAAAATGTTAGGATAACCGTACTGCAGAAGTACAGTTATGATGTGATGTATAATGCAGTTATGACATTCAAAACATTTTATTTATGTAACATGCCCTGGAAACACATTACTATGCTACTAAACATTGCAGGCTTTGCAAGAATTCACCTCATGTATCTGAGGCACTTGACTTAATAAGACTATTTCTTTCATTATACTTGATTTTAAAAAATCCATGTGGAGCCTGTAGGTGTGTTTATGTTTTCCTATTTTTATGTGACTTTAGAAGATGGACTCTGTCCCTAGTCAGCTGTGTCACCATTACCCTCTTGAGGGTGGATAGGCAGGGATGTTTCTCTTGTCCTTTCTTATTCTGGATCATCACTCTTCCAGGAGCATTCTTCTTTTTCGCAAAAAAAAAAAAAAAAAAAAAAAAAAATGCAAGTGATATATGATAAGTATTCCCCTCCCACATAATGGAGACAGGACAAACTCTTTAGCAGGTGGTATTGGAACACTGGCTCACATTATGGAGAAAACTAAATGCATGCATTGTATCATATGAAAAGTTGGAGTCCAGGTAGATTACAGATGGATTAAAAAATAAAACTATAAAGCTAAAAGAAGAAAATGTAGGATAATTTTGTATAAGATATAGATAAGGAACTGTGCTTCTTAAATATGACCCCAAAATAATTTTCAAAAAATTAGGTTAAGAAATAATGGCTATGACTATATTAAAATGAACGCTTTCTAGTCAATGGATGATATCTAAAAGTTAATAGGCAGGTGACAGACTGGAAGAGCTTTTAGCAATGCATAGACTTAATGACATTAATAGAGAAATATTACAAGGAATTGCAAATCAACAAGTAAAAGACAGGAAACCTAATATAAAAATGAGCAAAAGACAAGAATGTGACTTACAAATATCAAATACAAGAAGGATGCCCATTAAGGAGAGGGTAATAGGAGTGGGTTTAGAGATAAAGGAGAAAAATATATATGTTATCATGTTTAACACATTAAGCCTTTGAC